TTATTTACCAAAATTTCTGCAGACAAAATATTTTATATTCATTTTTCTAATATGGGTTTCTTCATGACAAATTACATTTCATTTCCATTTTTAACATAATTCTTTCTTTTTTCTCTCAATTTATGTTCTACATTAGAAATCTACCATGTTCACTTCATTATTACAGTAATTTGTTTAATCCTTTAAGATGCCCTGTAGATTCTTCAATTTTTTTTAACTTCTTTCATCTTTACAAACCTTTCCTCCATTCCCACTTCAGCTCACTTTTATCAGATCTGACAGATTCAGATACTTGCTTTCCTATTTTTTCAAATATTTTTTTTGTAATGTTTCTAGGGCAATTTATTTTTCTGTCAGTTGGCCTAACAAATGTTCCCTTCCCTCACCTTGCTTTACAGCTTTTCCAATGGTCACCATTCTTTTGTTAGTAAAAATAAGTGGATTACAAAGATGAAGGTAAAAAAGCAGGCTTTTCTCCCCCCCCCCCTTTTTTTTTTTTTTTGCTTTCTGTATGCCCTTAAGGCTTTAGTTCAATTTGTCTTTCACTAGTTTAGATGACACAATCCATCTCATGTTACACTTATCTCCTTATTTTATAACTTCCACCAATTATCTTTTTCTTTTGTTGTTAAATAATCAACCTTCCCAGGAAAATCTAATCTGTTTGAGAATACTCAGTCTCTGAATCAAAGGTTAATGTGGAACCTAGAAGAAAATGTAAATCTCTAAGCAATTATGGAGTCTAAAGTATTCATTGTTGTTTAGGAATAAATAAGCTCTTAGAATAATCCCCAAAAGATATAAATAAAAACATTGTTTAATGAGTTTCAACATCTTGAACAGCCTTTGGTAGAATATAGTAGTGCAATTTAGCTTCAACATTACAAAGACATGAACAGTATTTATGAAACACCTATTTAAATAATTCCAAGTAATGTCAAAAGAAGAAATACGCATGTTTCAAATGAAAAATAAAGAGTGATTGACACCTAAGTTAGAAAGGCATATATTATTTTCAAGAACTAGTGGATAGAAAAAAAAGATTCACCAGTAATTATTGTCCAAATATTAAATAGAAACATTCTTAGTTGATTTATTGGCCTTGATGTAAAAGGTTCATCCTTGTAAGCATCCAATCTGACAGTACCCTGCATGTACTTATGAATTAATGGGATATAGATAAAAAGCACAACGGCTTGTAAGGTAATCTAGAAAATCTACTTTGTATGGAATAATATGAATCCCTTTGTGGAACACTGACAAAAACTGGCTGGTTGAAGATGCTGCATATAGTACTGGTAGAACTAAATATGGTGATCTAGTTAAATCTACTTTTTTTTTTACTGAATAGCATAACATGAAAGTATCACTTGACCAAAATGTGACTTTGGGCTGTGATCATTACAATGGTGCATCTAGTGATGACTTTGGAATATTGAAGCTGGCAACTTAAAATACTGGAGGAGTAAAAAATAAAGCACATGGATTAATAAATTAAGTGAAGGAAGCAAAAAAGTTATGTCATGTGCTGCAAAGATGACATAAAGATTTAATATGAATGAAGGTGTTCTGATCTTATTCAGTAGAGATGATGAATATTTACAGAGAAATTTAAACGTGCAGATTGTGAACAAAAATGTTTAACAGTCTGAAACTATGAATTGATGTAATCTAGAATATTGTATGTATGCATGAAAGTAGAAATTCTTATGTAAATGTACTTATTATGTTTCAGTGAATGGTAACAATAGAAAAAATCACAGAATAATCTTAGGAAAAATTGTGGAACATTCTGACTCAGGAGAAAAATATATTTTGTAGAGTGATCTGTGAGAATGAGAGAGTAGCTCCTCTTTCCAAATCAACTATTGGAGACTTAAGAATGAATTAATGAGAATAGTGGTTGGTTCCAGTTTTTTTTTTTAAGCAGGTCTATTCATTTGTACACATGGTAAAGGAATACATCTAAATCAAAACACATCATTGATTTTTTGTGTGACGAAAGAATCAATGAAGATATAAGGGTGATGAACAGTTCTGAATGTGCAGCACACTTTCTTTGCTTTGTTTTAGGAATGGATTTAAGGGAGAAATGAACATGGAAGATACTAAATGAAATAAACATGAGTGAAATTACTACTATAATAATAAAAAATAGTAAGATTGCAGGTGTTGATAGTGTAACTGGAGAAATATTAAAATATAGAATTGGTTTGCTTATAAAATGCCTGTGTGATTTATTTAATGTTTGTGAAGACTGCATCTGATAACTGGCAGGGCAGCAAAATTCAATGAGAATATGGAAAATTTGGGAACTGCACTTTGGCTTTTACACCAGATACAAATTGTGCCAATTAGAGTTTTGCTCTTCTGCCAGTCATTCGGAAAAAATGCATGAATGTGAGAGAGTAAATTTATTATACTTTTGCTGATTGAGAAAAAGAATTTGATAAAATGAGTAGATTTAAATTATGGAAATCTTGTATAATATTGACTTGAAAGTTGTTCAATGGCATAAATGATATAATTGAAATAAAGGATATATAAAATAGTTCATCACTGAGCAGAGAATAAAACAAAGATATATTGTGTCCTCTAGTTTATAGCATATTTATGGATAAATGTGTAAGGAATCCTGTAGTAACCATAGAGATGTTTTTGTTTGGAAGGTAAATGTATAGAGAGCATTTAACATCAATAGATATATAGAGGCATAATGGATGGTGTTGGTATAAACTTCTCTATATCATTTTTCTTACCTAATTTCTTTGATTTACTGTTTTCTACTTTATTTTCATTAAGATTGTTTACCCCAAAAAGGAACAAAGTGACAGGTATAAATGTATCATCCCATTAAGTATAATATTTTAAACATGCTTTGAAAATGAAGGAATAAGACAGTGTAATGCTCCCTCTTTGCTACTAGTATGTATGTTGTATTTTTCCGATAGTAGCTGTATAAAAGAATCCTCTCTCCATAACTGTCAATCTAAAGCTTTATGTAAAGCTTACATTTAAAATATTAAAATAGTTGTTTCTTGCACCAAAAACAGTACATAAATCCTCCGTAAAACTATTATTTGTCTATCATGCAACACTGTAAAGAAGCCAGGTATCAGAGTGGTATTAGAAAGACTGAATAAATATGTAATTCTTACAGGAACAATGTCAAATCCAGCCTACTATATTTCAAAACATAAAACAGGGAACTCATGTTTTTCTCCTTTGGATACATGGATCAGATTTGTTTTTTCTACCCATTTGAAGCAGGGTAGTTTCCAGGGAGAAAAAAAGCAAAGAAAAGTGAAGAAGTAATTATATTAGGAAATAATTATTTTTCATAAAATTGAAGCTGGTCATTTCCTGTATAATAATGAATGTGAATTCATAATGTAAACTTTCTGAGCTCCATTTTCAAGTAGCAATTGGAAAATGGGTCCCTCTAATCTGACAGCACACAGGAAGAAAATATGGTAAGAAAGTGAGATAAACCTTAAAACTGAGCCAAAAAGTTCACGGGGCTTCCTTTAGTTTATTTTTATGAGGCTGATTTGAAGAACTTTAAACTTCATTTTTGGCAGCAGCTGCCACCATCTCAAATGCTGAATGTCTGAAGTTTTGCATAAGTGCAAGGCACTCATTCTGTAGTTCCGACATCCCACCTCCTGTGGTCACTTTATGTTCACTTTATAATCGCTGCAGTCACTTTAAAACTATGGCATTTGCTTAATGACTGTAGCAAAAGAAATGCTGTAAAATCATGTGAGTTTCCTGCTTAATGACCATCATAATTTATGACCATAATGGGCAGGTTCCATTAAAATTGTAAGTCAAGGACTACCCGTATGTGTCCCTACTTCCTTTCATTAAAACAAAAAAAAAATGGTTGTTGTTATCCTGCAGGCACGGATGAAAGACTTGGATACTAAAGAAGAATTAGGCTTTCGCCCTTTAAACCGATGGCTCTTTGAAGAAGACGCATCAGAGACTGTGACGGAACTAGCAGCAGTCAGACCAAATGAAGCTCCTCTCAAGGGTATGTTGCTGGAAAACCACAGGAGAGCCTTTTCTTTCAAACTTGGGTTTGCAGAACCCATGACATCAAGGACAACTCTTTGGTGTCCAACACTGCAGATAACTGCATTGCAGTCATACTGATGGTTGCTGGGAGAATACTCCTCCAAACAGGCAGCTTCAATGATAAAAATCTGTATGCTATTTTAGAGAGAGATGGAAAAAAGTAACTGATGAAACTGATGAAAGATGAACATAGGAACAGTAGCACAGATGAGGCCAGGAAGAAATCCAGGCATGTCAAGAAGTTTGTAGGGAGGGCCAAAAATGTCATATCAGAAAGGAATAGAAAACAAAATAACGGGGAATAAATTGGTGACATATGCAAAACCAGGCTTCATGGTGACATAGCATGTCAATTTCAGGATTGCACATCAAAGTATGTATTTGAGAAAATATGTCAAAAAGTATGTATTTCATACAATCTCATTATTGGTAATTGCTTTAGATGAGGAAGATGTGCTTCAGTTTCTGAGAGTTGTAATGTAATAGTTAAGCTGCTAGCCAGAAAATCACCTTAGGCATGAAAGCTGGCTGGGTAATTTTGTGCCAGTCATTCTTCCTTAGCCCAATCTATCTCATACAGTTGCTGTTGTGGAAAAAATAGGAGAAAGGATTATTGTGTAAGATTTAATGCGTTGAGATACTTATCTAATAAAAAAATAAAACAGTTGGAGTGACTTTCTTAAACTGTTCTCCATTCACATGTGTGATATTGTGTGATATTGCATTTATGCATGATTTTTGGACAATTCCATTTCTACAGTATATTGATTTTTTTTTTTTAAATCCTAAAAGTTGCCTTAATGGGCAAAAACCTTTAACTTTTATTACTTTCCAAAAATATTTAAAGTTAGACAAGAGTTTAATTTCATTGACATTATTAGGATTTAGATGCCAATGTAATGATTCTTACTTAGAAAATGAGTGAATTTTTTTAACTGCATGTGTTGCAGGATCAAATAACTAGTTAATTTAAATCCAGGAGATCTTATTTAACTGGCTTTTAAATGGGATTATAGAATTTCCACCCAAAAATGCCTAAGGTAGAAATTTCATTACATTCCATAGGATTAAAATGCAGACATAATTATACCCCCCCTAAATTTTGCATTAAGTGTTGCTAAAACATCTAGAATAGTTTGAAAAAGAGGGTAACATAGATGGCCAAACAATGGCATTTCCTTCCTATTCTAACTAATAGTCAAATACATTGGCAAAACTGGTTGCTTAGAGAGTTACTTCTATATACTGTATGTTCAGCTATTATGAGAGAGAGAGAGAGAGAGAGAGAGAGAGAGAGAGAGAGAGAGAGTGTTTTGTGCTTAAAGTGCACAACCCTAACCTAACCCTAACTATGAGTCCTCACTCAGTCATCTTTCAAAATGATTTTTCTAACATAGTAATGTTAATCAATGTGAAGGATTGATTCCCTTCCTTATACTACTTTAATTGGTGGTAATGATCTAACAGGCTCAGAAGGAAAGCAGACAATTTTGAACAAACTGCATCCTTTTTCATGAAAATCAAGGCAATGGGGATTCTAATTAAAAGTAGTAATATTAATTCTACAAAGAACCTAAAAGGAAATAAAATTTGTTTCTCAGTTTATATAAGATCTAAATCATTTTTAATTGTACACCTGAATTGTTATAACATGATTAATGTGAAAATAAAAAAAATCTGTCCAGAACTTTGGTTTAACACTATTGATACTTGAATAATAAGCTCTCTTATACACTGTATCATAGATTCAAAATTAGATCTAAAATAGCTACTACTATTATAATAAATGCTAAATCAAAATGTACTGTACCATATTAAAATAAGATATGTGTATGTTTTTTCAAGAATCTTAGAAATCTCAATAAAGCTGTAATTTTATCTAAATGTACCTAGAAATAAACCCTGAAACATTGTATTATCAAGTACATTTTTCCCTCTTGAAAACAGGTGTGATATTCAAGCTGGTACTCAAACTTGTAGAGCTGAATAGTGTTACAAATTAAATCTCATGTCCCAGATTTCAGCTAGGCAACTATGTTCTTTTGGGTTAAAAAATAGAATAAAAAGGAACCTAGTTTCTAACAACTATATATCAGTTATGGCATAATAACAGAATCACTTAATCAGATGAGGGAAATGTACTTGCAAATCTCTTCCCAGTCCTGCTGTGTTTTTTTTTCATATAAGAATGAGTAGCTTTTTTTTCTTTTTTTTACTTTAAATGATGTCTTCCTAGTTAAGGGACACAGGAAATCTGTCTGATAAAATTATAGGGTAGTGGAGCCCATATTTTCAGGCTCTTTTTTGCACTTTTAGGGAACTGAAAGTTAAGGAATGGTCATGGTGCTTCCACTTGCAGGCTTTTGCAGGATTGGAGGCTAAAACATATAAAAGAACAGTTGTTGGAATTGAGCACGTCTAGTTTAATGAAGAGAAGGACGAGGGGTGACATGATAGCAGTGCTCCAATATCTCAGGGGCTGCCACAAAGAAGAGGGAGTCAAGCTATTGTCCAAAGCACATTATATTATTAGTATTACTATTAGTATTAGTATTAGTATTATCTTTTTATTATTATTATTAAATTTTTTATTATTTTCAAATATAATAAAATATAAACATGAATTTGATGGATATAAATACAAAACATCAGTACACAAAAGAAAATATAATTTATGTATGATCCCCACTGCCCCCTCTCCGCTTCCCCCTCTTTCACCTGCCAGACCTTCCTCCCCCTAAACTCTCAACCACTCCACCTTCCTCCTTTCACTCCCTACTTCCCAACCTCTTTCTCAAGCACCAACCGGAAGCAGTTTGGGGTAACAGCAAGGATCATCCTCATAAATATACTTCCAAAATAATTAATAAACACATCAATTCTTATATATTTTTATCCTTTTCCCCCCTCCCCCCCGGACTTCC